ACAGACGGGTACAGAGGTGTCTACTGCAGGTGTGCGCTCTAGTTTCATGCAAGCATTTCTTCTGACTAAAGTCTCTCTAGATTTGTTGCCGTCATTCACTGACCATACCTCACTGCAGAGACTATGGGTAATCTTTACTGGTTTTTATCACGATTGTGGCCTGGACACATTGCATCAAATATTACTTTCGATCAAGGCAGTCAAGCTTCGAGAAATTGTGATAGTGGTCAATTTTCTTCCACTCCAACCTGGAATGGGGCACGTGAAGCGGATCATGAGGGCATTTCTGAAACCCCATGAGTCTGCTCGCCACAACGAGATTGACAAGCATTTTTCGTCCGATTCATTCGGATTGCTGAGCAGAATAGAATTTGTGCTTGTATACCAGAGTTGGAGAGGCAACCCCCCTGGCCGTGTGGATCGTACAATATCGCTTGAGGAGCAGTGGAAGCAGCAACTTGCACCTTTATTCCCACAACTGACCAAGCGAGGCATCTTCCGGTGAGTACTCCACATTTTACGCCTAGACTCATGCATTCATCTGTGTCGTGATATTGGAACTACAGCGCCACGATGAGCGAAAAGCACTTTGCAAACGACTTTTGATTATCACGCCCGTTGTATCTCCAGCAGATCCTTCCCGCGTTCGTGGTCTTGTCTCCACTCTTGCAGCAGTGAAGGGCACACTCAAGTGGACGGCGGAGGTTTCCACCCTCATCTCGCCGGCTCTTCAAAGTGTTGTATGATCATGCACGTTCTTGGGCACCCACCACGATTTCTTCCGCAATCCCCTACTTCGCATACATCACCCACTACTACATCGCATACCTGCAAGTTCCAGCATCTGGTTCTCTGCATACCGCCACTGCCATTCCGACGCTCAGACATCCATTTTCTCCATCTCGTTCTCGTCCCCATCTCCATATGCTCCGCCAACGATCGCTTATCCCACGACTGCTACATTGCCCGTTCATACACACGCGCAATCCACTGGAATCCACCCACAAGGTCTCGATAGCGGCCAGGCGATCTTGGCCAGGATTCCACAGAAGATGTATATCCGTCTGGTTCGTCGTCCGCACGGCGATGCCTGCGACGCTTACTCCACCGGACTATCCGCACTTCGACGGGTAATTCGACACGGGCACAGCAGCCCCATTGGATCCGTCTCTGCTGAGAGGCTCCTGAAGGCGAACTGGCCTGATATTTTATCTCGTGCCACACTACATCTTCCGTGCTCGTATATACACCACATTCGCAATCTCTACAAACAGCATCAAGATGCTATATCACGCAACGAACCCCGGCGACATGACAACATCAGGCGATGCGATTTCAGGAGCGAACTGACTCTAGCCGGCGGAGGCTCAACGGAGTCCGCACGCTGTCCTCCCCTGTGACCCGCAGCTGCCCGATCAGCCCAGGATGACCTCGAACCTCATCTGCCGCTCGTCATTCAACTCGAACATATAGCCCCAACGACAACACGCAGCTGGCCTGCCACCGGCGGACATCCCACCGATACACTCCTCCATCGACGAGGCGCACTGGATCAGATTCACCTGTACGAGCGCAAATCCGCGCCCGAGACATACGCGCGGACTGTCCATACGCGTGAACGTCAACGCGTGCCGGTGGCCCTTGATCTTCTCCGTACGAAGCAGGATTCCAGCCGTCCTCAACCCAACGATCCAACCAAAATCCTCGTGCGTCGGGGCCCAACGGTGCGCAGATCATGTTCATGAAGGGATTAGGATGGTGGTGATCCGTCCTGCATAGACGGGGACGACGTCGACGCTCTGGCACGGAATGCCGCTCGCACGGGAGATGAAAATCAGCGTGACGGCACATTGGATGACCTAGCAAGTACCTTGTGAATGTGAGGGACGGAGACGGCAGGCCACAGCGTGCTCCACGGATTTGCGGTGCAATCGCAAATTCACCGGATGACCACATTGAGGTACGCGAGCGCATGCGCTGGCTGTTACTGCATCGAGGCGGCACCTCATCAAGTGTACGAATTGCTCAAGTAGCTTGTGCTGGACGCCACGCTGCTTGCAAAGCTCAACGAGCTCGACGAGGCGCCACTGCGTATCTTGTGGGTATGACGTCAGGATAGCGGAAGGTTTCGACAGGACGTGTTGCTAGAGTACTCTGATCAGGTGCAGTATTGGAAGTGTCGTGTATGGATCGGAGTTGTGCTGGCGTAGTGGATGTTGTCGCATACCCGGCGTGGTTTAGAACTTTATCTACTGATAACACGAGGTTTTCATTGTTTCACGGCTTGTGTATAGTACAGGAATTGGAGACGGACCTGCGAGGTTATGTTTTTCTGCAAACATTTGTAGAGAGGATTTGACTAGATTACGCACTATAGTCGGGCCCGTTCATCCGCGCTTGCATCAGGCTAAGTCAGAAAACGCACGCACTAACTGTACGATACCCTTATTCTCTATCACGCTCTCGCTTATATTTGCTCTCCTCGAACATTCCGGTGAGCTGTTGGTGGTATATTTGGTCTTCTCATCCAAGGATAGAGGAGTGACGACGGTGCCTTCACTAGGATTGAGGAGTCGGGGCATAGGGTACCCCGTTTCCAAGTCGGCACCAGCCGCGACGCAATCAAAGAAGTTCGCAAACGAAGTACCGTCCATCCTACAGGACAAAATCATTGTAAAGATCATTGTACGTGATCGCGCACCTTAACTTTGGACTCTCGGACCACACACACAGCGATGCGACGGTCCTTCACCTCTCCCCTGAACGCTAACGCTGCCGACTTGCTCCATATCCCCTCCATATCCAGGTCCGTTGGCGATCTCCTCGATATTCTTGTCGAGCTTTTCCACCAGCCGGAGGTCCGATTAGGCCGGGCGCAGATATGACCGCTCCAGTCCATATGAATCTGCAAGCCAAATTGTCATTCGTAAGCGAATACAAGCAGTCGGTCATGAAGGAACACTTGCCTTGCATGGTCCCAGAGCCATAGGACTCATCTGAGGGACTCGCGACAAACGCACGTGCCTCACTGCGAATGCCGGATCTCACACAAGCAGTACACGGTGGATGTCTCCGGAAGCGAGCGACGCGATTACATACACTCACGCTCGATAGTCGTCTCGCGTGCGGAGTAGTTAATAGCGAATCCGTCCACATGCTGGGCAAAATCAATAGGGTCGACGCCTTCGCATTGATAGCAAACGTACCATGCTCGATCTGCGATCGAGAAGTCTACAAGAGATTGGCAAGCAAGAGGAACATTGAAGTTCTTGCCATGAACGTGAACGGAGTAGAATGGGGGATCGTGAAGTGCAGCGTCATTAAGCGAAGGAGGAGCACGGCAAGATGGGATCGGGTATAGAATCGCGAGGGAGAATGCTACAAGACGGCTCATAAGAGAGGCGAATGAACGAGACAGGATAGCAGAACCCCAATCGACATGATCCAGCACGCACCATTATCCTGACTTAACCCTTCTCACGAAAACGCTCGCCTGCTGCCCTTCCATACTGCGACGGCCGAATACCACACGAACGCCCTTCGGCGGGGTATGCAGATACCCCAAATTGAAGCTCACCTCTCCTCCTCCATTTGCGACAGCTCAGCGATCCCGGTCTCGTGCATTACGAGTGCAGACAGGTGCGTTTGTGCGGCTAGCAGGGGAGCGGTCCAGTACTGCTCCGCGGAGAGGATAGTGGCGAACGCATTGACGGCCTGCGTCGTCTTTGTGCTTGCAGTGGTCGGCAGCAGTACGCGAGAATCGAACATGACAAGGTTCTTGTCGGACACAGAGGAGAATAAGGACGCAGTTAAGCTAACAATATTCGAGCAGGTTCCTTCAAGCTGAGAGCGCTGGTGGCAGAATGAGGCGGAGACTTCGAGGTTCAAACGTTCACGATTGATCGAGTGTTCACAAACAGTAAGCATTATTTAGTCATAGAGATCGATGAGAGGGCAAGCACGAAGCATCCCGTTGGCCGTTGGAGACATGATGGAACACTCCTCGGGCACGAGTCTACGAATCCTTGATCAGTAGCGCGCAAGTTGTGCGTGCTATCATTCATTATCATTCATGACTGACTTTGACTCTCGAGCAGGCCGAGTTCTGATGGCACGACGAA